TTTTTTTTTTTTTTTTTTTTTTTTAATTTTTCTGCAATATGAAATGATTTGCCTGTAAAACAGTCTTTTCTTTGCAGCCTTGTAAGATTTTTCATGATCCCTTTCTAGGTCTTCCTAAGATCCACTCCATTCTCCACCCCAGCCCTTGTTTCCTAATTATCTCTGCCTTTTCTCCATGGGATGTTCTGCAGGATCTGTCTTTAGGGCACCCAGTGAATTTCTTGCTGGACATCTGCACAGATGGAGCGCATCTTCCTGAGGAACTCCATTGGCAACCCCTGTCAATAAGGTTTATTTTCCTTCATTGTTGGGAAAAATACCTAAACTTCAGGATGGCCTTGATTTTCTCAGGTCGTGTGGCAGCTCTTTGCTTTACTGTGAGACACAACCAAAAAAGATCCCCCTATTCTTCCAAAGCATCAACAGAGGGCTCTGCAGCCTGACCAGCAGTGTGATGGTCCTCATATACACAGCACAGACACCCTGCCCTGAAAGAGAAACCGCACTTCACCGGGGAGATGAGCCCTCATTTTGTAAGTCAAGCTAGAAAAACCAGAAAGATACTATTGTTCCTTGCTGTAAGAAAAAAAAAAAAAAAAAAGGTGAAGGGATATGAGAGGAAGCAGCTTTTCTACAGACCCAAAGGTGCAGAGCTGCATCTGAATCTGCTGGTTCTCTGGGTTGCCCTGCCTGGGCGGGACCGTTACGTGCGAGATGCTGCAGGAAGCGAAGCAGGGCAGCAGCTGTGTGTGCCTGTGCTTCTCCAGGGGCTGCTTCCTGCAGAAGTGTTACAACAGAAAATCAAAGAAACAGAAGTGTTTATCTGGGCAACCTTCACCAGGCAAATAGTACAAGTCATGGGGTTTTTTTTAGCAGCAAACTCTCTGATTGGCTAGAATTTGCTATTTTATAAATCTAAAGTTAAAGTATGGTTAAGTGTCACGTTTGCTAAAGCTACAGTTCAAAAGAGCAAAGCAGATTTGTTGCAAGCTATTTATTTCAGTACTCAAAGGGTTTCATTGAAGGTAAGAAAAGGGAAGTTGTCTTGAGGCTTAGAATCGTAATTCCTTTCAGCATTTCCTTTTAAACCTCGTGTTTACCTTCTGCAAAAACTTGTTTGTTGCAATTTTAACAGGGGAGTTGCTTTCATACTTTAATTTTTTTCTTTTTATCCAGTCCAGAAGAGTTTTGCACTAAACCTGGGTGTAAGTTGCTCACTGGTGTGATGGTTAGTTTCTGCTGTTGCAGGAAGTGGTTTTATTTTACTTTTTTTTCCTGCTTTCTTTCTATCTTTATGAGCTGTGGGAGATTAACCCAAATGCTCTCTATAGACATGTGACCTAGATGTTTTCCGTTTTTTGAAATAGTTAAAACTGTTGCTGGTTGATGGCAGTTTGAGATGAGACGACGACATCTGTGAGGCTGTAGGTAAGGAGCCTTAAATTTGTCTTAATGCAGTTGAGGAAACCCGTTGCTAAAGTTTTAAAAAATAATTATAACTGCGTGTATTTTTTATGAGTTCAATATGGATCATGTTAATTACACAATTATTTCATTTCTGTTGGCATTTGTGAATTTGAAAGCAACAGTGTAGAGGGTACAGATGTAAAATGATGTTTTGAAGGCAAATTTAGTATTCAGAATCTAGTGATGTTGCATCCTATGCAAGATATATCTGACCTTCTCTAGTATCCCATGACACTAATCACTTCTCTTACCCCTGCTGGTACTAGCTAGTTGTCCCCAAAAGGTAGAAAAGGCTGGAGATACTGGCTGGGAAATGAGATTAGATCATGTTTCCCAGCATTTGCCTTTTCCAGGTGCAATTTAGCTCTGTTTGATTAAGTGGCTTCCCTGCTGGTAACCATGAGGGAGGTGATTAGGAGCAGTGGCTACTGTAAGGGTTAGTGAGTGGTGAGGGTAGGTATTTAGTTGATATACTAGAGACTGAAGAGATCGATAGAGGGATCTCTTGCCCTGTTTGGTATCAAAAATTTGGTACCACTCTATTATTCCTCGGTGGTGCTAATAGGAATAGGACACAGGTAGACAGGAGGGACACTGTACAAAAGATATCCTTGGTTTGCCTACGGAAACTCTCAATGTTGTTCCTCGTGGAGCTGTTCAGCGGAGATGCTATGGTAGGATGTTTCCTGCATGAGGATGTTCAGATCCAGACTAATTTCTCCTCTGCTTCGGAACTGGCCAGAAAAAGCTTGTGTGTCCTGAGTTCCCATCTCACTCAAATCTTTCCATCAGAAAAGATTGCATTGCTGTCAGTGGGCAAACACTGCTTTCTGCCCTTCAGAGCTTTGCAAGGAAATAATAATTATAGTAAGGTATTAAAATAGTACAATCTAATGCTTTGATTGTGGGTGACATAAAGGAGAGAAAGAATTAGCAAGATTTGTTCTACGGTGAACATTTGTTTTCCTGGTAATGTAGTTTGCTGCAAACTTCGTGACATGTACTCGTGTTTGTAACTGATAGCCTTATCTTAAGGAGCAACTTGTTTTTCCCTTGGAAATATGGGTCAGAGTTGAAAGATATCACACGTGGCTTGAAGCTCATTTTGAAATCGTGCATGCTAATTGGAGACAGATTTTAGTGTAGTGTTGTAAGATTACATTTCAAATTTTCTGTACTTTTTTGAGAAAAAAAAAGCTGTCCTGCCTGCATACACAAATCAGCACAGACAGGGAAATTGTATAAAAAGAACATGTTCTCTTCCTGGGCTGTGTTTGTAGTGGTTTTTATGTTACTGCTGCAATGTCTTAGTCATTTGAAATGCATTTTCCACAGAGCTGTGAGATTTGGTAAAGTAGTTTGAATTCTCAGAGTTATTTTTCTTTATTTTCTCACTTCCCCACAACTTACCTCTTTGTGTCCAAAGGAAATTAATTTAAAAGCAGCATCTCTGGTTCACTTTACCTCTCAATCCAATTACATCTGTAACATACATTTGTTCATTTTCTTTTCTAAATAGAGTGAACAGCTGAAGCACTCTGTATTTTAAAGCTCCTGCTGTAAACTATTATTGAATTCCAAAAAAAAAAAAAAAAACCCAAACAAAAAAACCAACCAACCAACCCAACTTTGCCTTTTTGGCAGCATTTGTTGTAGAAACTTCCTTTTGCTGTAATACAAGAGATACCCTAGCTCTGAAGAGATGCTCCATCCTCTTCCGACCAAGCAGGAGTGTGTGGTCCCCTTGACAGACCCTCTTGCCTGGGCTGGGATTGCCAGAGCCCCAAAGGGGACATCTGTATCAGATCAGAGGCTCGGGCATGTTCCTCCCCCACCTGCAGTGAGGCAGGAACTAGAAATTAAAATGGTGACTGGCACATTTTGATTCTTCTCCTGATGTTTGGGTGGCACAACACCACAGCCTTCGATGCGATGCTAGCTTAACTGAAACAGCCGTACACTGCTCTGGTTTGGATTTCTCTATCTATTTCTGGTCCCAGAAGTTGTTATTTCTTTTCAGTGATGAGCTTCACAGTATCCTATGCAAGCAGGATGGAGCACCTATTGTGATCTCTAGTGCTGTAGTGAGGATTGCTTTTGTTGTGCTTGCTCAGTCCCAAAGACTTTGAGTAGTGGAAATTACCGTATTATGGCCTGTTTCTACTAAGCCACACAGGGCTTCGTGGGTTATAGACAGCATCTTCTGAATTTTTTGAGGCTCTCAATATGCAAGTCTGATACTTGCCTATTCTTCTTGACTTATTTTTAGATGCCTCTGTGCTGTGCCAGTTCAACTGGTGTGACTTGCTAACCGTTTACTGAGTCGTTAAAGCCTGCATGTTGTTAAAAACTGTTTCTTGATGTTGGAGAAATCTGTTAGTGCTTAAGTGTGTTCTTAATTAGAAACCTGAAACATGGTGGTCGTACAGTGTATCCTAATCCTGTACAGGTATTGTTTGTGCTGATCTCTTTAAAAAAAAAAAACAAAACCAAACAACAAAAACCCAAAACCAAACAAAAAAATAAAAACAAAAAACAAACCCAACCAAAAAAAACCCCAAGCATCACTTGATTTCTAGCGAAAGTCTCCATGTTTCACTTTTCTCCTAAGTAATACTTCCACATGGATGCATCGAGCCTATTTCTCAGTGTCACAAAGACAGAGGCTGGTACCGGTGGATACCATCTATATGAAGAAATAATTTTCCTGATTTCATTTGTTGATAGCATTAGTTACAAAGAAAAAAGATGGGCAAAAATTTTGGCCCTGCTTTTGACCATGTATCTTCCATGACAATTCAGGATCCATCCAGAGCACAACAGCAGATTTCTTTACCTAGTTACACAACCTGCACAAAACTGTCTCCTTTTTCCATCCTGTGGTGGCTTCCAACAGATTTTATTGCCATCAGACTAATTGCTGTAACATCCTCCTAGTCTCAGAGTAGACTGAAGGCCCTGCTGCCTTCAGCTTGCTCACAACAGCACACTTCCCTGTGGGTGTGCATTTGGGAACCTGTAAACTTGGTCTAGGTCAGGAGGCATTGGTGTCACCTGCTTCCGAAACCACATCATAAGGTTGGTCTGCTTCAACCAGCAATCTCAACAAATAATTTCTCTGACAACTCTCTTATTGACATCTGAAAGACAGAGGTGGTTGTCATTTTGCTGTGCTGGATGTTAATATTGTGCCTTCACACGCTCAACAGGACTCTGTCGGTCTTACTTGAGTTGAGAAATACTATGAAAAAGTTGTTTTGGAGACTCACTACAGAACAAGCACTGTTAGCTCCTCATTTGCACAGGGACTTCCTCAGTGCAGATCTATTTCTGTTTTAGGAGTGAAACCTCTTATTACAGAGTCTGTGGACTTCCATCATCTTTATTACGACTTGAAGCACCTTGGGGAGCAAACTTCCAGGTTGTCTGAAATAGAAGCAAAGAAATTCTACTGGATTTTTTTTTTTTTTTTTTTTTTTTTTTTTTTTTTTAAGAAGGCTTTCTGAATGAAAAAAGCAGGCATTAATTTTCTGGGCATGGATATTTAGATAACTGACCCTGGGGCAAACCGAATTTATGCTAGAGCTCAGTGTGTGAAGGCAGCCAGGTCATGCTGGATCAGATTTTCAGTGCATTACTGGCTCATGCTGAAGTTGCCTGGAAGTGTTGAGGTCTGGCATGTGTAAAATGGAGTCCTGTTTGCCAGGAAGCGAGAACTCATGCAGCTTTAAAATTTTAGCCTTTTTTCCTCTTAATTTCTCTGTATTTTCATTCACCTTAGCATGAGAAAGAACTGTTTGGGGAATTAAGTGGGAAAGTTATCAGAGGGTTAAAAAGATATTGGTACTCTCCAAATTAGCTTCTAAATTTCCGGGGGTATGTGTAAGTTACGTTACAAAATGCAAACACAGACAGTATACAGGTACCTAGTAAAGCATTTCCTCTATGAATTATCTAAATGAGTTTGATATTGCTTTGGTTATTGGTTTTATATATATATATAATATATATATTATATATATATATATATATTTTTTTTTATATATATATATATATGTATATGTTTAGTGGTTTAAGGTTAAGACACAGTGTAACACTTCCTGCCATTTGACCCTGACCGGCATTCAATCATTCACTTGGTACTGTAGGTTTTCATGAATATTTCTCCCAAATACACTGAACAGGCAAGGTCTTCAAACAAATGAACTTAAAATGACTTCTGTTTCCTTCTCCAAGTTACCCACCAGTTTTCAGCACAACTGCAACATAAGAGGGGAGGGGGAAGCAAAGAGGAAGGAAAAAGAGAAGTGAATGTGGCTTAGAGCTGAAGGGATGTGCTTTAAGTATGTGCATGCTTTTTGTTTCTTATTTCTTTTCCTGCCACACCCTGAGCAAAGTCACCACTGTATTTGGTGCTGAATCAGATACTGAAATGCCTATCTGCACCAGATAACCAAGCCTCGACTAGGCAAGGCACAGGGCTTACCACCTGTACTTGTTTGTCTTCTGCTCAGGATGTTGCTCAACTCCCTTTGTGGTGAGGAGGGAAATGACAGCTATTTTGTGAAGACAATTGAGGCTCTGGAGTTTGGTCTCCAAGAGAACCACCTCCGTGGTTGGTGGGTCTGTCACCAGCCTGCTGGGTGTCAGGATGCTCACCAGAATTTCTGGTGTCTACAGCTGTGGCTCAGGAGGCATCTGCTTCTGAGACAGCCAGATGTCTGCTTGGGGGAACTGAGCAACCCACGGTGGGGGAATGGACCCAACACCGGCAGCGTGTCCCACTGGTTGGGGGGGATCCCCAGACCGCATGGTGATGCTGGTCAGAGCCAAGCCCCTGCACACACTGCAGGAGAGCCTGAGGGTAATGCCAAGGACATCCACAGCAAACACCAAAAGAAGCCTCCCTGGGCGCTCTCAGACAAAATGCATTTCCAGCAAATAGCTTTGCTACAAATGAT